GCTTTCAACCAATTTTCTAACTGATTATGTGTCATCATACCCCATGTCGTTGTTCATGCTATCAACCACCTGTCTAGTGGTTTGTGTGCCATCATACCCCGGCTCGTTGTTCATGCTATCAACCACCTGTCTAGTGGTTTGTGTGTCATCATACCCCGGCTCGTTGTTCATGCTATCAACCACATGTCTAGTGGTTTGTGCGTCATCATACCCCGGCTCGTTGTTCATGCTATCAAACTTTCTTGACTGTCGTCGTACTCGTTGTTCATACTATCAACCAAGCGACTGTATGGAACAGACTTGCATATTTACAAGCCGAATGACTGCTTCATAAAAAAACATTTACCCACATTCTTCATGGATCCACGTCGAACAGCGACCCGTGAAGATCCGGGTTAGAATTGATCTTCAGCAACCTATGCTTCCGCAGAGAATTGCTTAGATCGATGCTCATGACGTCAATCACTGGATTGTCTGGTAGAGACGCCATTATTTAAAGACCGCCATCATGCAGCTGAGTGCAGCGTTAAACAACAAACAAACAAAGAAACAATCACGTTGACCATTGTAAAAAGGGCGAATGGGTAAATCTCACTAGATAAGACAAATATTGGTCCCCGAGAATGGAATATTGTTTCAGAAAGGATACCACTCATTAGCGAGTTAAGAAGGGACACGGATCCAAACAATATATACTCTATTGCAAATATTATGACAGGGGGCTATGTAATCTCAACAACGGTCGAAGAGGTCGACAATGAAACACAACACATGAACATTGTTACAAGTGATTTCCGTGTCGGAATCCGGAATCTTATCAAGGAACATATCAGTCACGACAGGAGGGGTGTACAGTGCAGGAAATATAAACAGCATACAGTTAAACAATTGGGCATTTTGCATCAAACGAGGATAAAGTTTATTTTCTTTCAAACCCAGCCATGTACTCATGATTTAATATAAGCGTACAACCATTCATAAAAAGCTCTTTATTGAAAACAGATCCGACTGTTCTCCTGACCCCTCAGGGCCACGCCCGACTGAAGGACGCTCTTCTACAAAGGCTGCTCGACTCCTGACCTTAAAGTGGTAGGTGCAAATAGATTTGTCGGAAGTAATTCCCTAGATCTATGTCGCCTATTTGTCTTCATTTCTTCGCAACTCGCAGAATGTACTATATTTTCCACGCACAATTTGATTGTCTGCAATTAGTTTCTGTGCGGCAATCGACACTTGGTAGCCTCGCTAATGAGATGCCATCTGTGCGGAGACATAACTAGCATAGTCCCCAGTTTCTGTAGAGCGTCTCCGCACCCGTGTCAGACAGCTGGTGTACCGTCTTGCAGTATATTCGCCTCTTTTGTTCCCTTTTTTTATGTCATTATTTACGACGGAAGAAAAACAACAACACATAAACAGTCCTATAAATAAAAATGTAGATGAGTAAGTTACGTTTTTTTTCCAGTGAAGAAACGTTTTTTTCGTTTGTCAAATTCTAGTTTTTAGGTAAAACGGTAATTGGCAAAGAAAAACGGAAGGCCAAACGTCATTTGTCATTTATCGTTTTAAGATTTACATTTCACGGGAGTTTAACAAGTTTATTTTTCCAACGTTTTTTCCCTTTGGCTCATCCTCCCACGTGTGTGTTTCTGTGTGTGCGTGTGTGTGATGTGGGCAGTCATCAAAGGTATTGTGATGCGCGGTACTGAACTGCGTCCCCTTGAGTCTTGTTATGTTCGTGTGTTCGATTCCCACATTTGTCCTATAATTTTATTCTGTATTTTTTTTTTCAGTACCACATCCGTGCTGTCGGCGTATAAACGTCATTCGTGATCAACTCGTGTTATTCCGGGACAAGCCAAAAATTGACTCGTGCCTCACTCGTGGACAATTTTGCGACTGGGTTCCGTCTTAGCGCAAACGAGCATAGCTTTAAGAATTGACAAGTCGTTGCGTAATGATTCACGTATATTTCCCCATATATCATTATATTCCAGATGATATTATTTAAAACACATCGGGACTTACGTTATCATACAGTATGATTGAATACATTTAACTATCTTGGCTTCACTTTTAGATGCAAGACATATTTAAAATAATAATAAAAATATTCCAAAGGGATTCTTTGACCGAAGTACTTGAAGTCATACGAGCTTTCTGATTGGTTTGTAATATTTTCGTACATAACATTCATCAACGAGGGACGAGTCTTCTTACATGCTACTGAAAGGTTTGTTTATTTTGTTTCTTTGTTTGTTGTTTAACGCCGAACTCAGCAATATTCCAGCTATATGACGGCGGTCTGTAAATAATCGAGTCTGGACGAACAATCCAGTGATTAGTATCATGAGCATCGATCCACGCAATTGGGATCGATGACATGCATCAACCAAGTCAGCGAGCCTGACCACCCGATCCCGTTAGTCGCCTTTTACGACAAGCATAGTCACCTTTTACGGCAAGCATGGGTTGCTGAAGACCTATTCTATCCCGGAATCTTCACGGGTACGTTACGGAAAGGGGCGAGTGGTGGCGAGTGGTATAAATGTGGTACCTCCACATTGCTCTTCTGTGCATACCGAGGCCCAATAGAGAATGTTCAGCACTGAATACTGCACGTGCACTTACGTAGATGCCAAACGTATGTACAAACTATTTATCCGGTCACGTGAGTAAATCTAGTATTTTACCAATAATAACCTAGTTGTCAAAACTTCAGTCCGTAACGACTTGGAACTGTTAATGCTGAACGCCTATGGTCATCTGAACTGGGCCATTAGACATGGATGCCGTATGAAGCCTATTTCAAAAGTGCTGAAAGTTGGTGATCTCTCGCATATCGACGCTGCCATACCATCAGCTACTTCACAATAACCGATCTGATGGGAACCTACGGTGTACAATCAGTCCAGGACCTTTTCGACCCCTTACTATTCTTCAGAGCTACCCAATATCACCAACGGTTCAAGGATGACCACTGTCAATGGAACCAAAACAAGTGCCGCGTTGTCAAAATGTTGTCATGGTCAAGTTACTCAACAACTTCTGCGGTCGCAGAACGTCCCCTTGCGTCAGGTGTAATTAAATGTCAGACTTATATGTAATTGAGACCCTGGACTATCCCTGATAAATGGTCGTTGACAAGGTTGTGTGTTTATTGTTTGATGCCACACTCAGCATTATTCCATGTGTATGTCTGTAAAAAACCGAGTATGGACCAGACAATCAAGTGATTGACATCATGAGCATCGATCTACGCAATTGGGATACGATGACATGGATCAACCAAGTCAGCTAGCCAGACCACTTACGCCTCGTAAGACAGGAATGGGTTGATGAAGATCAATTCTAACCCTGATCTTCACGGGTAATAACCCGCCCGCATCACGCTAGGTCCGTACTTGTATAGTATGTATAAAACACAAAAAATATATAGCTAACGGCCATTGCATTCTACATAAACGTATCTTTTACTGTTCCTGCTTCTATTCTAGTCCTAAATAACATTTGCTCTATTCCATGTCGATCACCTGCGCATAAGGCCAGAATAGTATGAAAGGCCCCGACTCCGACACCCTGCAAGGCAGACCTTCCCTTCCCCCCACGTGCAGGAGCAGTGAAGTACCGCTCCGCCCCCAGATCATATACGTCCTCTAATAATATCCCACCGTGTTTTTACACAATCGGGTTTGTTATTGTGGCGGTGTAGATAAAATGATCCTATCATTCATTCGAGTAGAACTTAATTGTTGCACCCGGAATTCTCCTCAGAAGAGCTCGGATCCGAGAGTCTGGCTGCTCTAGAACTCGTCTCAAGCTTCCAGCCAGAAAAAATAAGCTTCCTCCCCGTGGGTTCTGTGCGTTGTGAGTCAATAAATACGGCCCGGCATCCGATCAGAAGTTCCCCCTTCCACATATGTGACCTTACCATGGTCGATCAAAAATAACCTTTCTCTGATAGTGTATATATTTTGACATAATTGTTCTAGCGAAGAGCGTGAACACATACCATGCACATATTTTGGAAGATATTATGACAAACTTTTCAAAGCTACGCCGGGATAAAAAATAAATGAAATAAATACTGCTAGAATAGATGGGTTACCGATGTGCTTTGTTCACACACGTTTGTAGCTATATGTTTTTATGAGGTCATGGAACATAAGTTATATATTTCTATAAAACCGTGGCTAAATTCTTTAAGATGAATATCTTTTGCAAACACAAAAACAAACACACACACACTGGAAGACTATGACATCATTATCAGCAAATTATACGTTAACACCAGTTAGGAATGACAGTACGCCAGTTAATAGATCCATGTAATGGTAATAATGCCAAAGGTTACTCGGCGGTGGTTATAGAAAACAGTAATTAATTGTTTGCACTTATTAATTGAACTTGAATTATTGAATTCTCACATAATTATTGACTGAGAAGATAATTAGGTGTTCACTATAAACTATCAGCATACTAAATGCATGGTATTGGTAACCATTCACATTTAGATGGATATATGCATAAATTAAATACGCCGTTGAGATTTTCCATAAAAATTCCATTTCAATCACCTATACCACACAACAACACGAAGGTAATATTCATTAGTGTTTTCCACTTTGTAACTGATTATAAAACGGCTAAACAACATACAGCCATCTTTACTACAACTCAACAAACATTTCAAATATATATCCTCGGTTAGGGCTGAAAACTGAAAAACAGAGCCCAAATCGTGCATTATTTGTTGCGGCGTTCTACAAAACACTGCACGAGTACATAAACAAATCATTCAAAACCATTTAACTCATGGTTGGTAATAACAATACCCTTTCTCCGACTATCATTCATATATATATATACCTGTGTCTCATGTTTAGCGGAACCCTCTTCACGCCAAGGGTAACCCGGAGCATATGCGAAACCCATCAATAGCGCTATAATTACAAAACTTCGTTTCAGAGTTGAACGTGAAAACCTCGTAACCCCATCGCGCGCCATGACGTCATCGGCGAGTGTTGGCGTCTGCTGGCGTTAGGAGCGGTGTAGGGAGTAGTCAGCCGTGGGAACTCTGTCAGTCTGTACTCTGCTTTTCTGTCACTTGGAGCAAGCCCGGGGGACGGTCGGACAGTGTGAGGAACCATACACGGACTGGAACCGCCCTAAGGTCAGGGCAACGCTTTGACGATAAGGAGGTACTTAAAGTGTTGAGAGACAGTACAAGAGTATGGCCGAGCACCATGGCTTGATGGAGTTACCAGGCAATCCCCATGTAAGTAAACTTAATAGACTGTCATTATACTCATTACCGACTTGTATAATGTAGAAATAACAAAATACAACTAATTTACATGCCTTTTGAAGGGGGCACTTCTCTTGTGCGATCTTCCCTCCCAAATCACGAATCGCGCTATGGACTAGTGTTGGCAACACACGGCACCTGTTTCGACGGTTGTTTTACTGTGGGGGTGCTGTCGGCATCGCGCTTATCTTACAACTGACAACAGATGCAGGGCAAACAGTAGGTCTTAATGAGAGACCAGTCAGCCATCTTGTCAGTATAAGTGTGTCCTATATATGCAGCTGTAATTATTGTTAGATTTGACATTTACATCCAGTATTTTGGAGTCATCATAACCGCCCGCATTAAGTCTCCGTGAATAACTTGCTGCATGCACAGCGATCTTCCCAATCACCAGCATGTGACCTGGATGTTATTCATCAACAGTTGGCCATACTTCCTGTTATGATAATCTGTCATGTGTTACAACCCTGGAAATGAGAGTGATTAACGGATATTTTCATAACCGTATTCTTAAGTAAGGCAATGTATTGTCATTGGACATGTTGTAACGCGACTATTTATATTGTTGTAACGCGACTATTTATATTGTTGTAACGCGACTATTTATATTGTTGTAACGCGACTATTTATATTGTTGTAACGCGACTATTTGTATTTTCATATGAAAAATATGGGCAAACATGACACAAATCAGAGAACGGTGTCTCCAATTCCCAAAGGTACTTTAATTGTCTCTCTTGAATAACATATAATATATATATATACCCCCCCCCCCCCCCCCCCCCCCCCCCCACAACATTCTCATCCCTATCTCCGCTCCATCTTTTTTTAAAGAGAGTCGAGGTCCATTTATTGAAGTACTGGTACTAGAAGTTATACGGAACTTTAGTTCGGTGAATCCTAATCTTAGGATATTTCAGTATGTTAATGCTTTGTTTTCAGTCATTTCCATATCGTGTAGGAAGTATTTCCTATTGAGAAGTCACGCGCCTGTTAATTTAATCATAGACACTTGTTTATGGGTTGTAAGAAACTGCAGCATTGATAGTTTTTCATGTAGCATACAACCTACTGTGTACTAGCGACGGTGAGTCACTCACATTTTATCCCGGAACTATCAGATCCTACCACTATACGTCTATATAACAGTATGGAACACACGGTAGAAGATAACCATGAAGGCTTTGGGTCGCCAAGAAAAGATTGAGTGGTGTCGTGTAGTGTAAATACTTTACCGGGCATCCGTGCGCAGTCAACTGACACTCTACACCACGAGTAATGGCGGGAAATGACAATCTGGTGTGGGGTCAAGGTCACAAGGTCACTAATTTCGACATACGATATGGTCACCGTATCGCATTGCCTGATAGTGCACGAACTGCACGAAGCGGTGCTTGTGATGTCTGTATGTAGACTTCCTCAAAGTCCCTTGGGGTTGGAACCAGGGTGTGTACATTTAGATCACATATCAGGTTGGTGATTGAAAGATTTCACTGGACTGCAGCTGTGTGATTGGGCGCTTTGTGAAGTCCATTGGATGACTTGCCCGAAAAGTACTCGGTTTGGTAGAAAAGACGGACAATTGACTTTCACCAAAATGGATGGGTGTATGTTCCGACTTAATATTTGCAATTATTTAATATTTTTGGTGTCAAATGTTGTGCTTTTTGTAGATAGAAAAGAGCGACTCTTTCGATGCGTCAATGGACTGTCTTGAATATTGTCATAATTGATCACGATAATTACTATTAACAAAACAAAGTACCAGAAAAAAAGTTGGATCAAAACTCAAGTTTGCGAAATATTGAAACGTAATGTAAAACGTATGTCAGACGGTATCTAAAACATCACTTTCAGAACCATTATTCTGTAAACATGTGACTTCTATTGTTTCGTTTTGCAAATCTTTAAATATTGACTTGTATCATAAAACTAACAATGTCAATTCAAGTAAACAGACGTTCAAAATTATTTGTATATAATAAAAGAACAGTATTTTATCTTTATATCTTCATCACATATATTCACAATGAACAGAAATGTGGCACCTCCAGAACTCATCTGAAGAACTATATACAGACTGAATGCTCAATGGGGGCTAATCAGAGCAATAGCATAGCCCTAACTGCTTTAAACCCGACACCATCGTGAGACTCGCTGGCCGCTGGAGGCATGTCAGGACACCGGGGTCAGTAGTTCTGACCACTGTGGTCTGACCATACAAGTTTTGTACATACACACAAAGGCCGTTTAATGTTCACCGCCCCCGCTGTGCTGCGGAGGACGGAACTAATTTCCTTGCTGATAAATATTTTCTCTGACGGGTATCACACTGGGGGATCTGCAAGATAGAAAACATCAACACATGTCAACATTAACGAGACCGACAAACTTTTAGCTTCCGAACAGAACTAATTTTTCAAGCGCAGCTTTGGACCAAGCTTCGTGATTCAGTGTTTGCTCATTTAAACTCAGTTCATGCAAACTGCTCATCTACGTGCCACGATTCCAGCTATGTCGTGAAGAATATTTTGTGGCTTGAATTCAGTTCCTGGCAATGGCAAGCAGTCTTGGCCGTGCAGTAAGGTCATGTTCTCCCCGTGTCTGACAAATTATGCTTCAGGTGCGCATTACAACGCCTAACTTCTACCGATTCCTGTAGGTGCGGCGTGGAGTGACTGTTATACCAGATGCTGTCTCCATTCGACATTAGTTAGAGAAACGATGGTAAACACGACGTGTTTGTTCTAAGTGGGGTATTATTGCCAAAACACTCGGTGGTTATTTGGCTAGTGACGAGACTGGCGTAAGGATTCCTGTGGCTTTGAGGCGTAAACATCGCACGTCATCGGAATAGGCGCGGATTGATATTAAATAGTTGTGAGGTCAAGCAACAAGACGATGAGTTCATACACGAGTACCGAATAGAAACTACCGATCCCCCACCCCCACCCCTAACAAAAAAAACCAAACCAAACAAACACAAGTTTCGCGTAGAAAGATATGCAATATTTTCTCGATGACGAACCATTCTAGGATTCAGGCAGTGTAATGGAGGTCATACGTTAGCTCTAACTTACCTTGGCTCACCTTGGGGACTATCACAGTGAAGTACTGATAATTTCATTAAGCGGTTCGTCAACATCCGGGTTAGAATAGGTCTTCAGCAGCCCATGCTTGCCGTAAAAGGTGACAATGATTGTCGTAAAGGGGACTAACGGGATCGGGTGGTCAGGCTCTTGGTTGATGCATGTCATGGTATCCCAATTGCGTGGATCGATGCTCATGATGTCAATCACTGGAGTGTCTGGTTAAGACTCAATTATTTACAGGTCGCCGTCATATAAGTGGAATGTTGCTGTGTGTGGTGTAAAACAACAAACAAACATTTCACAATGCCGTGTCCAGTATCACACCATGGCGTTCGTCCTACCGGAAGTAACATACACGTATGATGATGACGGATCCCGAACCTGCACTCGGGTTCCAATGGGTACAGTTTTCATGAAGGATAAAGTGTGCGTTTAATACAAGGCGAATCAATGTAGTACTTTGTTGTTTAATGCCGCACTCGACAATATTCCAGCTATATATGACGGCGGTCTGTACATAATCGAGTCTGGACCAGAAAATAAAGTGATTGATGTCATGTGCATCAGCGAGTCTGACCACCCGATCCCGTTAGTCGCCTCTTGCTTGTTAGCATACTCGCCGTTTACAGCAAACATGGGTTGCTGAAGACCTACTCTACCCCGGATGTTCACGGGTACAATGTAGTACTGTATATTACTGTTACAAAGAGGGGTTGGAGGTTAAATTCTAATTATATCGTGAATGTAAGACCCTTAACAGTTATCAATATCAGTGAGTAGGTCAAGAAAACAGACGTGTTTGTCCGATTTTGACATCGCACTTGATACGTCGCCTCCATTCTTTAGGATCAACTCTGGTGTATGACATGAATTACATTGGATGGTTCACTGATTATGAAATATGTGGCACATTGCTTGTGCTGCCTCTATGTGATGTGACCACATTGGAAGATCTATGTCATCAGATGTCGCTGTAATTATATATAATCTGGCTCAAACCTCTGAAAATAGATTTGTGTAAGTGATGTCAATCAGGGATAAATTAGAAATTCCTACCACGCGACAACGGAGGGACGAACAAGATAATTCAGTCTTTGACTGATTTTGTTAATATTGTTCAGAAAATGTTGACAGAATTTTGTAGCAGCTTCTATTTGTAACTGTTGCAATGTTTGCAGTTTAAATGTTCTGGCATATGATTGGTTGAATAGCTTTAAAACTTGTTGCAGTTGTATACCACATATAGTAGTTTGGCCAAACATAGACTAACATCTAGTCTCTGAAATGAACATATTTTACGGAAAAAACAGTTGTTATATTACAGTATAACAAAAGGAGCCAAGAGACTTTCTTCATTTTTCAGATACTGCAGTAATCTGGACTTGCCAAATATTATAGACTTGAATGGACTGTATTGGATATACATGTATTTGTTTCGGGGTCTGTATGACATACTAGGCCAAACATAATACATATGATTTCTTGGTGGAGTTTCGATTTTGTAAAAAAATGATTTAAAGTAAACTACGTTTATAACTAACACGCTTATAATGAATTGACGGATATAACGAACTGCTGTTTTTGGTCCCGGCCATTTGCGATAACCTTTAGTTGTAATGCTTATAACGAACTACGGATGTCACGAACAAAAAATATTGGTCCCTTTGAGTTCGTTATAACCGTAGTTTATTGTACTTCTATCAAGAACCACGTTCTTCAGAGAACACATAAATCATGGCGCCCTTTTGATAATACAAAGAACTTCCACAGAGTTTATTTATTCACCGATGTCAAATTTCAAGGCGAGACTAGCAGTGGTATACCCCACTTCTTGGATTGTGTTGATGCCTATGAGCTATCAGTTCCTCTTGAGTG